TTGCAAAAGGCAGTGACACTGCTTGCTGGTTTTGCTCATGCTTGGAACGTTCCCAGCTGCCAAAAAGTCATGCAACACACACACACACACACACAGAGACACACACACACACGCACACACACACACACACGACCCTAAACCCTGGAAGCCCTCAACCCCAAGCCCAAAAGCCAAGAAGCCCTAAGGCCCTAAAGCCCTAAAACCCTGAACCCCTACAACCCTAAAGCCCGACGAATGCCCTAAAACCCCTAAACCCTACAGCCTTAACCCTAAACCCTTAAAGCCCACAAAGCCCCAAGTCCTGAAACCCCAAACCCTAAACCCTGCAGCCTTCAACAAACCGTAAACCCCTAAACCCATGAAGCCCCAAGTTCCCTAAACCCTAAACTCTACACCCTAAACCCAAACCCATGAAGCCCCAAGTCCTGAAGCCCTAGAAATCGAGGCAGCCGCCAGGATGGCGCAGGCGCAGTAGAACATCGCAGCATAACCTTTGAGCTTAGGGGTCTAAGGTTTATAAGGGTTTTAGGCTTTAGGGTTGTAGGGCTTACGCGTTTAGGGGGTTAGGGTTTAGGGTTTAGGGGTGTAGGGTTTTAGGGTTTAGGGCTTTAGGGTTTTTTTTCCCTCTCGCATGGCTTTAGGGGTTTAGGGTTTAGGGCTCTAAAACCTTTGAGTTGGGCTTGCGGTCTGGGGCTTACCCATAGGCTCAGTAGCTCCTTTTTATGGTTTATATGTAGAATCCTACAAGGTAATCCCAAAAAGGAACTACTTAGGGGCCTATGCTTAACCGGTTAGCTTGAGAGCCAGGAATTTAGCTGTCCGTAAGGTCTAGCTTAGGATATCATAGTTAAGTGGCTCATACCTTAGAAAGCCCAGGGCAACCTTGCAGGACAAGACCCTGTCGAGAGGCCCTCAACCCTTATAAACCCCTAAACCCGAATTCTAAGCCTTCAACCTCTAGACCCCTCATGCGACGCCTACAGGTCATCTCCATGAAATGCAAGGAGCGGGGTTAAACTTCTACCGGAACGCTACTTACCATGTTGAGTATGCTGTCCGTCTCTAATCATCGTAAGTCTTTTGTTACCATCATTGTAACCACTACTACCATAAATACCATAATCACCACTTAGGGGCTGAGTACCTTAACCCAAAAAAAGTTGACCTTTTGAATTATAGTAGGATTATTCAAGCCCAAAAAGGTTAAAGGTTACCTACTGAGCCCCTACGACCATGTTCTCAAAATTACCATAGCGACTCTTCCGGTCAAGGAGGTTCACAGAAACACAAGTGCACCTCGGGGTCGATCTGCAAGCAGCACCTGGCAGTTGCAAGCACAAGCTTCCGAAAACCGGTTTTGCCTTTGCAAGGGTTGTTATAGGGCTTTCCCATAGGGTTTTCCTAGCCTTTTCGGCGTTTTATGTTGTTGTATCATCAGTTTAAAGGGGTTTTAGATGCTTTTGCTGGATCTTGCATGTACGCTGTTCCAAGGCCCTACAGCAACTCCTCAGACACTTCATGCAAGATCCTTTCTTGCTGATTTCAAACCGAACTTCCAGTTCGCTGCAGAGACGGGTGAAACCTGTGTCAATGAATCGCAGCTCTGTCTTGGGCTTAGCCCGAGGATTTCCCTAAACCCTAAACCCTGCTCAAACCAGAACATGAGGATGTTGAGTGGAACGCTGCGACATCACTAAAAATCGATTGCGCGAACTCCGTCTTGGTTCTGGCCGTTGGTAGACCCCCCAAGACTTGTTCTCTGGTTGGTGGCTGTGTTCATGGTGCCAACCGTCGCCTGCCTGGGGCTCTTACTTCCAATCCCAATTTAGGCTACTTACAACCTTTCTGAGTAAGTCCCCATGATCCTCTAAGTGAGACCCAGAGAGCCCAATACCCCTTCAATTACGGAATTTACCTTAAACTATGGGGGCCTTAATATGATGATTTAAGGTATATTCCTTAACTAATGGGTATCTACTGGGCTTTCTGGGGACGGCGACAAAAAAACGGCGCAGCTCTCTCTTGGGCATTGTGGTAGAAACCAGAAAGCTGGCTCATTCGTTTCCTCATGCCCCTTAGAGGTACAGCATAAGGAATCCCAGCACTTTTCATCCTTAGGGTTTTTAGGGTTTAGGGCTTAAACCATGTTCCAACTTTCTGGGGTTCACTATAGACTACACACAGAGCGCAAGTCGGAACATCAGGATCTGATAGGAAGGCCGCAGCATCACCACGAATTCTTGTGTGACTCCGTCTTGTTCTGGCCGTTGTACCCCCAAGACTTCCACTCGTTGCTGCTCCCCGCATGCTGCTGCTCATGGCGCCAGCCATCACGATCTTTCTGCTCCCATGCCCACTTGTCTTCTTGGCCTTTCCAAGAAAAGCTGGACTCTTTGCTGCTCCATGCCCACTTGTCTTCCTGGCCTTCCCAAAGACTAAGAGAGCTGGACCGACTCCACTTGTCGCCTGCGCGATCGCGACCATTCCCGCTGGGGGCGTTGTTCCACGATCCGTGCTGGTGATCTCTGTTGTTGGCCGTCCAGGCCTTGTGGCCCTCAGGACCTCGCCAGTCCTGCCACTCGCTCCCCACTGGCACGCAGAAGGTGCCGGTACGCGTCTTGTCGAAGACCCAACCCTTTTCGCCGGCAAGCTTCAGGAAGAGGGTGCCCTCTCTGCCTCGCCACTCTTGGATCACGTCGAAAACTTCTCCACAGCTCAGGAAGCCCACCACTCCCTTTCTCTGAACTGTGTGCTCGCTCCTGATGTCCATGCCGGGGCGCCACACGCACCTCCAGTGCGCGGGCTTGGGGCCATGGCCATCAGGAGCCTCCTGGACCTGGGGCAAGACCTGTGGCAAGGCTTCAACTTCTCCCTTTTCATTGGCCTTGGCCCCAACCAGGGCATAGAGATGCTTCAGGAGCGAGTTGGCAATGGCCCTTCGGTTTGGCTCCATCTCTTCGTCGGAACCCGAAGTGGGAGAGTCCACCATGTTGGGGGATGGCGGTGTGCACGTCTCCGCCTCACTCTCCCCTGCATCTTGCCCCAGTAGCTGCCTCAGTCCCTGAAGCTTTGCCTCCAGGGCTTCCACCCGCTGCGTCTGGGCAGCCAGCTGTCCCTGCAGCTCCGTAACCTGGCTTCCCTGCTGCTCTTGTTCCTGGACCATGGCGACCACTTGATCGCGAAGCTCGTCGAACATCGCCGCCACTCTCTGCGCCATCATTGTGGCACGGAGAGGTACTGACTTGTGCCGCGTGGCACGCCTCTAACAACAAAACCTGTCAGCCAAAAGGTTTCTTCAGGCATGTGCGATCTGCCTTCAAGCAGCACGGCACCCTCTGCGGGTGATTCAGATGTCTTCGGGTGCGGCAGGTCTGCGCTCCATGCAAAACTGACTGAATCACCTACCCTACCCGATAAAATTGAGAACAACCTGCCTGGGGCTTGTCGCACAAGAGCTGGTACAAGTGGCCGCCGGGGGCCAGCTCCAACAGCACGTACACCTGAAGCTGTTAAGGGTTTAGGGTTTGTTGGGATTTTATACTTGGCATAGCATAAATATACTAATTGTGTTAGAGTATAGTATAGCCTAGTCTAGTATGGTATGGTATGGATAGTATGGTATAGCATAGTATAGTATGGTATAGAAGAGTAGAGTATAGTATGTACACCTGAACCTTTTACCCTAACCCCCCAGGTATAGGGGTCTAGGGGTTTAGGGTTTAGGGTACTACTTCGGGTACTAGAGCCCCTAGGGCCATTTTTAGAAGGTACCTGGAGGGTTAGGGTTATACTTGGTGTAGCATAATATACTAATTATTTTTTCGCAATACAAAAAATAGTTTTGTTGTGGCAATCGTATCGTACAGTCGAATATTGCATGGTACGGCATAGAACAGTCTAGCATTCTATAGTCTAGTCTGGTCAAGTCAAGTCTAGTCTAGTATAGTCTTAGAAAGTATACACACCTGAAGCTTAGAATTTAGGGGCTGAGATACCCTAGCCACTAAAAGGGTCAACCTTTTAAGTTATAGTAGGTTTATAAAACTTGTCGCAGGCTTAAGACGGTTCCCTGAGGGTTTCTGAGGGCTTTGTACGGGATAGCTTTGCTGTCTACTCGCGCATGCTTGCACGCCTTTGGCAGATTCCCTTGTGGTGGGCTAAATAGATTTAGAGACATTGCTTGTGGCTTCATAAGTGTTGAAGCCTACACATTGGCAAGATAATCAAGGGGCTGCAGCTTTATGCCAACACCCGCAAACCCTTAAGCAGCTTGTCGCAAACGGGGTGATACGGTTGATGATACAAACCCTGCATTACCCATAATAAGTAAAATGCCATAATTCCATTAAGGTCATGCAGGATTTATATCATCAACAGTAATTCAGGCTCCTTTTCGGGCGCCAGCCTTTCTCCATGTAGCCTAAACCCCAACCCTAAACTCCTAAACCCTAAAACCCTAAAGACCCTCCTCCAGGGGTTCATCACTTCAATTTACTCAAACACCTTACCTTAACCCTGAACTGAGTCGTAAACACAACCCTAAACTGAACCCTAAACTGGACCCTGAACCAAACCTAAACCAAACCCTTAACTAACCTAAACTAAACCCTAGACCCGAAACCCAACCCCAAACTCGAAACCCAGCCCTAAACTCAAAACCCCGCCCAAACCCTGAACTTGACCCTAAACTCAACCCTAGACTCAACCCTAAACTAAACCCTAAACCAAACCCTTAACTCAACCCTAAACTGAATCCTACACCCGAAACCCAACCCCAAACTCGAAACCCAGCCCTAAACTCGAAACCCAGCTCTAAACTCGGAGCCCAACCCTAAACACTAAACTTAACCCTAAACACAACCCGGAACTAGGGTTTTTTTCCCACCCGCTTCGCTGACCAGGTCGCACTGCAGGGAAAACCCAGACTCGGAACTAGGGTTTAGGGTTTAGGGTTATTGCATTGAAGTAATTAATTAAGAGGGTTTAGGGTTATTGCATTGAAGTAAATAATTAAGAGGGAGCTGCACCATGTTTCTTTGAAGCAAAATTCTACAATTTCCATATGGTGTAAATTTAAGATGTTAATTCAAACATGGGTTGAGCTGCATGGAACCTGCCCCGGATGTTGGTTAATTGCGCACCCCACCCACAGGAACCTGAGCTCAATGAGGCAGTGGTGCAGCTTTAGCAGGACCCATCATATTCCAGCCGAAATCTACCAAGATCCCCGATCGTCCACACACTGCTAGTACTTGCAGGAGAGGAGAGTCCCAATTCTGTCGCCAGGAGTCGCGCACACGATGTCAATCGGCGCAGCCTCCATGCGCTTGGTGCTCTCCTGGCAAGGCTCCGCTTGTTCCGCTCGCCCAGAGCACCCATGATTGGGGTCCATCTTTTCTCTCCGCTCTGACCAAAAAGGTTGGCGCAGGACGTACCGCGCTGGGCTGTCACGGCTATACAAGCTATGGACACCAGAATGCTCTTCATGGCACCCTGAGTCTCTTCTACGGTCTGCAATGGTTTGCACCAACGCGCAAGGCTACTCGCAACGTCTCACAACCTTCTGGCCCACACAAACTCCCATGTGGTCAGGAGTCCGCTAGGTTTGGGGGGTGATCCTGCGTTCATGCGCCTGAGAGATGCACTGCAGGCAGGAAACGAGGCCGTCGCCAGCCAAGCAACGGCCGTTGTCCAGCCGCTGCAAACTCGGAGCCCTTAAGCCTCGCCTCAGCCCAGGATGTCCTCGTTGGGGCCAAACACCTCAAAGTTGAGAGCTGACCTGCACGCGATGCAACCGAGATCACGGAGCTCTCCGGGCTCACCGGCCTTGCCTCTGCACCCCCATCTGTGTCAGCTGCTGGGCGATGGACTTCATCCACGGGACAGGGCCACCTCAGCTCCCGAAAGCAACCATCAAACCCGGCCTCCACACCTGCGCTTCCTCAGAGTCCGAAGTCATGCTCCAGCTGCTCCCTTGGCCTTCAAAGCCATATTAGCCCACCACAAATGTCGCCTCAATCTGCCCCACTCTCCAAACAGATACCTGAGCAGAAGATGAAATCCATACAAAGGCCCAGTCGCAGAAGTAGTACAGAGCATTCTCTTTCTCCAGCGGCAGCATATCCTTCGAGGCTCAACAATTCCCTGGCTTGACACACCAAACCCCTGTCTCTTGCCATAATCCTCTGTACACTCCACACCACCCCAACAAGAATGCGCCGCCGTTCTCATGTCCATAGGAGGGTGCCCTGAACTGCAAGCTTGCATGTCCTTTACCTGGGTCAGGTCCATCATGCCCTTGAAGTGAAAGGGTGCCTGGAGTTTGAACATGAAGCTGCAAGAGGACAGTTCACTTGTGGTGAGAAACCCTGAGGCAGGTCAGCAATGCCTTGTTGTCAGAACCCATGACGTCGTCAGAATTGGGGTTGTTGTACCAGACACGGCGGGTGAGATCATCCGGATGGGCGCGTGCAAGGCCAACTATGTAGTCGCGGAAGGCATGCTGCCGGCCGTTCTCCGCTGCATGCAGCCACAGAACAGGGCGCTCAGATGCCTGGGCACCATTCTTCAAGGTGCCCAGCATGCTGAGCATGGGGGTGATGCCAACTCCTGGAGAGGGTCATGACATCCTGTACACGCTTGACTAGCACTGATTCACAGCACTTGCATGCACTTGCTCCTGCGCTAAGGAGCACCACCGGTGCATCCGCATCCTTGGTCCACAAAGCCTGCGCCCCAGCAACGCTGAAGTTGCCGAACGGCGGCGAGAGGTCGAACTCATCGCCCACTGCAGTGCGATCGTGGAGGAAAGAAGATACCATGCCCTGGCTCTCCTTCTTCACTGCGATGGTGTAATGGTCACTGCCAGGCTCAGAGATGAGGCTGTAGTGTCGCGGCTGCCGCTTGTCAGTACCTGTGGGGTACGTCCAAATGGTGGTGTACTGTCCTGGGCTGTACGATGAAATGGGCTTGCCATCCACCGGCCGGAAGGTGAACTCGGTGATGACGCTGCTTCGCGCGGTCTTCTCTGCGAGAGTAAACTTGCGCATCCCACGCCAGCCCCCTGGCTTGGATTCTGCTTCCTTGTAGAGTTCCTCCTCCCGCTTGTGGCAGTATCCAGCCAAGGCCCCGTAGAGCTCGGCCCAAGCATCCAGAACCTCCTGACCGGGGTTGAACTTATCGGTAATTGTGCCAAGGATGTGCTCTCCGACAACGTTGTACTGTGCCTTGGCTGCTGCGAGAATCTACAACACAATGCAATCAAGGAGAGCTGAACAAGTAGAACACAGTAGAGTTGAAGAGCATAGTCTGGACAGAAGACCGCTCGGCGGAAGAGAACAGGTGGCCGTCAAGCGCAATAGCAGAGAACAGCTTGGAACAGAATGGCATAGAATCGGGCCAAATGCCAATCATACATGATAACCGCATGTGGTGCACTGATGTCAGCTGACATGCCATCACAACATAGAATGAGAACTGGTAGAATGCGACGGCTTCATACCTCATGCCAGCTGTCCTGCTCTCTCCACGACACAACGACTCTGCCACAAGACACCTGGCAAGAAGGTACACTTCGACTTGATATGATGCGACCCAGTGCCATGCGATGCAATACCAGTATCAGTCAACAGCACTTTACTCATGCTGCAACATGACTTCACTCGGATGGGAAGTGATGTAGCACAACCTGATGCATGTTCTGCCGTTCTAAGGTGACATGTTGTCGTGCATATGTTCGGCACGGCTCAACATGCATGGGAACCATGATTCATTCAATATGTAGTGCTGAACATGCACGAGCCAAGCAAGTCACAGCACTCGAAAGATCTCTGAATTGTGCAATGCCCTGCAATATGAAACCGGCTCTCATCAGACCCTGGGGCAATACGCTGAATCAAACGATGCCATATACTTGTGTGCATGGAGCACAACATGTTCAAATATTCATGCATCGCGCTGCAGAAGTCAATCTGGCAGTGCAGGACAGGTTATCGAATGACCGTCTGTTCTGCAAAGACTACGTAGAACCACTTCAACATAACAAGGGTATCCTCGAACATCCCAGGAGCTTCAGTGACATTTAGAGCACAGTGCTTCTGGTTGACACCCTCCATGAGCTCCACAGGTAGTGTACCATTCTCCAGCACTGATACGGCAGATGCTGCCTTGCGTCGTGCTGTCAAGTGAGTCAAAGTGGCGTCACTTCGGCGAACTTAATTGGACGCGAGAAATGCGTGGCACTGCCGAACAAGCATGCATCAAAGCTGCAACTGCAGAGAAGAGCGCCTTCTGCTGCCTCCCCTGGGTTGGCTCACGTGGGTTGCAAGATCACTATTGGGAAGCTAACGTTTTGTCTTGTACTGGCATGAGCAGCATGCTCTTGTCTTGGGGTCCCCGTGTCAGGCTTGGCAAACACCGCGCCTGGCTCTGATTGGCAAGGTTGAAGGTGTTCAACAGCTCGGGGTGTGCTGCAAACATGCGCTGATAGAAGTGGCTGGTAAATCCTGTCCCAGCTTCTGCCACGAGCGGCAACGTGTCCTTGACAATGTCCAGAGTTTTTTGTGTCAGGCCCCGGTGTTGGTGCCACACGCTGCGCTGGAAGTGCTGTGTGCCACGCATGGCGCGTGTGGCCAGGCCCATGAAAGCCATGGTGCCGCCGGCAAAAACTATTATAGGGGCTGCAAAACCTGCTTGAGTCAGTCATATTCCGATTGCATGCAGTCACGCACAGAGCTGCAGGGTTCTGTCCAGAATGTTGAAGCTAAGGATGAGTACATGCGTAGGGAGATATTTAATACTTTGATGCTCTAAAAATTTCTCCCCCGCGAGACGTGCTAGACTCCAAATCCATTTTTATTCGGGTTCATCAAGAATTCTAATTCGATTATTGTAGTGGAAAAAGTCATTTCATATTTTTTCTATTACTCATACATCCCGTCCGAAGACCATGGGCCCTGGGCGTAAAATGAAAATGCCAACCGTGGGCCGTACTGTCCGCAGGAAGCGGTCGAGTGATACAAAACCGCATCGACTCGATGTTACACTCTTCCGGTGTTCACGTCATGCCAGCGCCTGAAGTGTTGGAGGTATCACTTTGTTCTGCTCGGGATGTTGTCCTGGTGTTCCTTTTAAGCAGCTGCCAAGTGGGAGAGCTTTAAGATTTAGATTTCTCTTGTCATAGTGATTATCGATAGAAGTTAACGAACGTATTCGCATTTATTGAATTTGGTTTACTACTCTTTTTATCCAAAGTTCCGTATTCTATTAAATTTTCAATTTCAACTTTTGAGATTTTGAACATAGGATAAATTGTTGACTAGAATAGTTATTAATGGCTGCGAAGACTTGTTGGTTTCAATATATGTTCTTAACATATCAATGCTCATGATTGGAGCTCTGATAGATTTAATAGATCAGTTGAAAAACTCAAGCCTGCACCTTGACAGTTTGGTAGCCATCTGAAGCGAAAGCTGCAAATAGCCTACCTGTAAGGTAAGAAGGAGCACAGCTTACTTAGATTTGCTGCCTCATATGCTCGGCCAAAGCTGTACCCACCTCTTAGCCCTTAGACCTGCGTGGCGATGGATCCCGCCTGCCTTGATGTGCGCCTTGACAACGACGGCATTGGCCTGATTCCAGAACAGCATGGATTCACGACGTCGAGTCATCAGCAGGACTCAGGACACGGGTTCCTTTTGGGGACGGTCTGCCTAAGGCGAAAAGCCTGGTGTTAGCCCGGAGTCCCATGCCAGACGATGTCGCAAGTCGCGTTGTGAAGGCTTGAGCGTAGGGGATAATAGAGTGATGGAGTGTCGCCGATACTCGGGACAGCTGCCATTCATGCCAGTGCATGAAGCTTGGAAACAAAAAGGGGCACGTTGCCAGCCTCCACATCCGAGTCCTGGGTAGAAAATCTGCGTCGCAGACCTCGCCGCTGCCGCTGTAGCACGTGCCCATGGCGTCACAGTACACAGGACTGTACACAGGACTACTCCAGAAGCTGTGCGAATGACATGCTGGCTCGATGTCTCTGAATCGCCTTCGCCGTGCCCCGACAACCTGGCAGAGTTTAGCTTCTGCAGTTGGCTTCTGAGCCCTCGCGGCCGCTGCCAAGCGCAGAGGAACATGCCCTGCAGTGCCGCGCCTGTGATCGGCTCATTTCTCCGCTGTCCAACCACTGCAATCTTCTCACAATGCCGGAGGTTCCAGCATTTCCCCCCAAATCGTACCATCTCTGGCCTAGCCCAGGTGATGCTGCTCGGTATGAATGCACCGTGGTTGCTCAGAGCTTCCCTTTTTTTGCATCCAAACCCGGGAAGTCGTCTCTTTGAAATCTGTCTCTGGATATAGGTGCTTCAGGATTCACCGGCGAGTGCCGGTGAACCTCTAAGCCGGTTGATAAGAAGCGGAGTAGGAAGCATCAGAATGTGTCTTACAACACACACAGCAGGTACACGCCGATCCCCAGCTCCGCTCTGTTGAAAAAAACTTTCCGAAAGCAATTCGCTGTCTTTCGCAGCCCTCTCTTGTGAAACTCGTGGTTGGGGTGTGACGGGGCAGGGGGAGCAATCTGTTGAAGGCTCTTGGAGGGCCCCAGGAAAGACGGGAGCGTTGCAGGCACGGATAGCAGCATCTCTGGACTTGGTGCTTATATGCTACTGTCTGCAACTTTGGCCCCATTGCAGGGCTTCACCACGGGAGATCAGACTTACCAACCTTTTCAGCTCATGCTTTGGGCCACTATCTTGATGCGCACCAGGGGCTTCCTAAGCGCAAATGCTGCAACCAGGGGCTTCCATTCTGCCTCAACATGTTCAGCTTCATTTCAATGGAAGGACCCGTTACAGTTTCTTCGCCTTCTAGGCGCAATCAAAAACTCTCAATCGGGCGCAGCCTCGGGATCTCCTAGCCCGCCCAGCCGCCACAGGTTGCATCCAAGACACTCTTCTAACATCGGACAGCTTCGAGCCCTTTTGCTAAGGACCTGGCGCGGGCGAGAGAGAAAGTGAGAGAGACGCAGGATGGTTGTAGCGGTTTACGCTCTCGCAGCCAGACGAGGTCTCTCGATCCATGCGCCCACTCACTAGCAGCTTGTTTGTAGCGGTTTAAGGTGGGAGATCTCTCTGTTGTTCTACATACGACTTGTGCCTCATGTGTCGCGTCCGTTTTGGTAATCGCCCTGAGCCCACTGACGAGCGACCTCGTGCATCTCAATGCAATCTGCATCAAAAGGAAGCCTGGGCTTCCGGAGGCTTTGCTTTGCATATACATGTACGAGTAGGTCGCTTGGGCTGGGCTTTGCTGGACCTTGTTGTGAAACTGCCAAGAGGCTTTTCCCCACCTTCCGTCTCCAAGTGGAAGGATCCACGTTCAACGTTCACTGCATCCGAGATCTTCCATCTGCGAGGCAGGACTCGCATGCAGGAGTTTCTCCAACATGCTTCTGCGAAACACAAAACGGAATCAATGTGTTTTATCCATCTCGTTGCCAGGTCCTCAGAGCTACCGCAAGCTTTGCATGATTTGCATGCAGTTAGGATGACCTCTATCTTGAGCCTGTTGTCCTTGACCTAGGCGGGCAATATGGACCATTGACTGCTTCGGGGACTCCTGCATCACTTGTGAATTGCGGTCCTCTCTGCAACTCAATCGTCGCATCTTGTTTGCAATGAATCTTTGTCTTGAGCTTCGTTCGAAGGAATACAGTGCCAAGTGAAGCTGTACTTCACTAGCCGCTAGCCCAATCGGTATCAATGCTGCGGGACATATTCCGGCCAAATACATCATCTTGTCGCACAAAGAAGCTCGCCGCTAGGAATCCAAGCGAAGCAGCAGGGACAAGCTGTTTCAAGCCTTACTAAGCAAATGCAGTTTCCGCTTTCAAGGTCAGAAAGACAAGACTGAGCCGATCGACTGGTTGCTACTGGGACATGCTGCAGCACCCAGAAAATTGATGACGTCGATAATCGATAAGCGAAGTTCAAAGGACTATGTTGATTGAGTCCGGTAAGATCCAAGGCGTGCACGGGCGATTCTATGCGGAGTTGACGACATGAAGTGCACCACGCGACTGTGACAGTGGCAACTCCTGTGCACATCTACCAGTTAAAACCGAACAAGAAGCAGGAGGACTCAGGAGGACCCTTGGATGAGTCGAGTGGAAAAGCCGACACTTTGTTCCTGGGAATCGTTCTTGATTCTCGCAAGGATGTGGCAAATTCTGACGAGAGCTGGGGGTCCAGGGGTCATGTCAGGAAGCTCGAGCAGCTGGGTGCAGTAAGAAGATCTTCCTCTGCGAAAAAGGTCTCCGAAGTTTCGAAGGTCCTGCCTTTGAAAACAACCTCCTCCATGGCCGACAAACAGCCCTCCTTCTGCAGCCGTATGCAACCCAGACGCTTGATGGCGTCGAAGTTGTCCCGCCAAGTTGACCACAGGAAGAACTCCTAAGAGCCGCAAGGAACAAACATTAGCATGGTTTCAGACCTTCACTGTAGACACGGCTTTGCATCTGCAACGGAGAGAGAGAGAGAGAGAGAGAGAGAGAGAGAACGAGAGAACGAGAGAGAGAGAGAGAGAGAGGGATGACACGATGCAGATGCCATAACACGCGTGTGCAACTCTGGGAAAAAACACGTCTTGGTTGGATTCAAGCCAGCTGCAAAGTCGTGGATAAGATCGAACTTGGCCTTGTCTTTGGTCTTCGGAGTAGTCACCGGCTTTTGCACGGCGAAGGCCCCGCAGTACTCCTCCATGAATGTCGTGATGCTTGGACGCGTTCGCGGGGTGTTCACAGTAGGCCGGAAGAGCACAAACAAATATCAAGCAAGGTACTTACCTGTCTAGCTATCGCACAAGCATCCCTCGAAGTGTTGCGCGACAACAAGCTGTCAGAGGCTTGAAATATCTCCGGAAAGCAGGTGTGACGGAAGTCTACATCCTACATGACTTGATAACATCTTCCAGTGCACCGAATGCAACGAAACATTATTTCAAAACTGTTTCTGATGAACCTTCTAACTTAGGATTGATCCGTCAGGACGTGGCGCACGCAAACCCAGCCCGCCTTTCGCCATGACTGTCCATTCTGAGTCCTGCCAGGAATCTCGCCATGGACCATGGACCAAGGGAACTCAGGCTCGAGCGACGACAGCCGTGCCAGGTTGCCCTGAGGGTCGTGCTTGAAGTATTTCGCCCGCCGCTGCTGCTTGCCGGCGTGGCCCCGGATTGCATCGATACAGTGGCACATGTACAGACCTTGCCGATGCTCCAACTGGCCATGGGCAAGAAAATACATGCCATGCCATCAAACAGCTTCCACCAACCAATTCAGCATGGAACGTTTTTCAGTTCATGTGGCTATACCGCCATACCCACACCATGTACAAAGCACAACGTGAATCCAGGCAATCCCTGTTTGCTCCGTGCCTTCAGTGGCAGGCCGCGTGTTGGCGCTTGTGCCATCGAAGCCATCAGCATCGTCTCGGGGATATGATTTTTGACGTACGACAGACATCAGCTACGAGTAGCCGGTGTTGTATCCTTCACAAGGACGACATGCAGTATCTGTCCGACAGAGGAACTAACTGGAATCTCGAAAACGTGGGGGCGATGAGAAATGTAGAAAAAACAAGTAGCAGCTGAAAGAGACACGTCTTTGCTGGCCTGGCCCTGGCCTTGGCAGCTCGCAATCTCCATCCCCAAGGCGCTCCTTCCATAACCGAAGCTTCGGGGCACCCCATGACGAAACGAAGAGCAGTTCTTCGGCTGCCGGGATTCGGTGCTGGAGGCCGGCAGCTCGCCTTCCAAGCCTGCTTCAGTTGTCTTGGCTAGCTGCACTTTGTGACGTCAGTGGTCAATGGCCTCATAGTCTACATACACCTTTCGACTCACAGTGCCCAGTTGATGGACACATGACGGATGCGCTGCTACTGGTAGCTGCATTCTGTGGTGCGGAGGACATTTGACAGAAGCTCCACACCCACCATGGAGCCTGAGGCCTAACGGGCGAGTGGAAAATGTCCGATGCAGGACAGCAGGAAGGCAGAAAGGTTTACAGCTCTTCCGCACCAAAGCCAACTGACATGCGAAGACGCCTTGGTCTTGTCCTGGCTCTTCCAAGGCCGCTTGGATCTGTTCCTGGAGTGGACGTGAAGACGACAGGGTGTCGCATCGCTTCTGCGGGCTTGTCGTCAGAGTTTTCAAGGCACCAAGCCGCCTCTATCTCCTGTCGCTTCTGGATTTTTGACTCTTGCAGCTTGTCCAATGACCTCAGGGTCGATGCAGGCTTGGCCACACCCAGTGGTTTGGTGGTTTCGGATTTCTCAAGATGCCAGTCGCACTGCCTATCCTTGGAAAACCACGCCCAAAAGGCGGGACTCAAAGTGAACTCGAAAGCAAGCGTCCCTGAACGGCTTCTAGAAGACCCGTGGTCCGCCCGAAAAATCCTTGGGCAAATCTGTGAAAATACCTGGACCCAGGCTTTGCTTGGCAACATGAGGTCGTATTTAGATGTAAACACAGTGCCAGCGGCCCTCGCGCACAATGCCAAACTTCGTGGTGTCTCAGCTCGAGCACGACCCAGCAAAGCACCCCGTCCCAATGCGAAGCTTCACCGATCTGTACTGCCAAGCAGCTCGCCAGACTTTTTCTTGTCTTCCAGGCTGGCAATCTCGCGGAGCTTCTTCCTCATACTCAAGCTCAAAGACAGGGGGTCTGAGTTTGAAGTGAAATGCAAGAAGTGCATAATTTACTTGCTGGTAGACTGCAGGCTAAGGTTCTGCAAGTTCAAGACCTTCTTGTTCTTTGCCAGTGGCTTCTGCGAGTCACCTGAAAAATCACACGAGTATCTGCCAAAGCGGAGGCCGACGGCCGACGGAGTCCAAAAAGAGGCCTAGAGGCCCAAGGCTCTGACCCTGCCTGTGGATGCGGCGCCAACGCCCACGTGGTCCATCGGATCCGGATCTGCGTGGAGAAACGACTTTCCGGCAGTATGACGGAGGAGGGGCTTAGGAAGACAACAGACAAAGGATCCTACGAATGTGGGCCTTCAACAACCGGCACTTCCTGCTCACAAAGAAAACCGCTGTGCCAAGTACCAAGAAAAAGACAAAGGTTCTTGAACGGGCTGACGAGGCCCGAGAGACAGTGCGGGGTTGCAGGCTGTCGCGGGGCTGTACAACCTGCGAACGTCTGCTACTCCAGCGCACCTGTGACATTGTAGGCTTCTTGCTCTTGGGGCAGGTAAGTGACCTCAGCGACTTGACATGCCCGACATCCCCCGTTCGGACACTGGAGGCAAACACTGCAGCGCCCGATAATCTGGCGAAGGCACGGCAGGAGGAGCCTTCCTCAGCTCCTCGATCTCTGCCTCACAAATTTGGAAGGGGACAAACAGAACGAAGGAGGCCCCGTTGTTCAATTCCTGCCTCCACTTCCACCCTCTTCAGCAACTTGCCCTTCTGCTCTGCATTGAGGGTCCTCAGTGTGCTTTGCAACCCAGAGCCGTGACTTTCCCTGAGCACGCACGGAACAGCCAGCTTCTGCGCCTGAGGGCTGAAATGATGGCCTTCGGAATCGCCAGAGCTACGGGAAGCGACAAAGAAAGTTGCGGGCAAAGGCTCTGTCCAGCGCGCTCTTTGGAAGCCAGCTCGTCGATCTGCTTGAGCTTTTTCCTTCGGTCTCAATCTGTAGGGGGATTCGCGGCTTCGGGTCTGATCTCGCACACAGATGATACCCAAAGCTCCACAGCGATCGCGCGCTGAACAAAAAAGCCCAAGGCTCTCCAAGTTGCGAAGCTTCTTGTCGAGGTCTGTCATTCTTGCCCCGTCGAAGAAGTTACGAGTAGAGATGCAAAGCGTAGAGCCTAGCTGGTGTAGCCCACAGCCTAAAGTGCCACTGCTTGGTGCCCTGAGGCATCTATGATCCCAGCTGCTCTTGAGCCGACGCTGCAGGGTGCCAGTCCTATTGCTTCGGATCGTGAATCATCGTGAATCTCTGCGTGTAGCCCGTGCCGAAAGGCGGCGCCACACTTTTTTGTGTAAGCTGCGGAGACGATTCGTTTTCACAAGCTGCTCTTGAGCCTTTGCCGGCTTCCGGCATCTAATAGCTTACCAAGTCGGGGACTCACTGTAGGAGAGGTGTGCACGTTGAGGTTTCAAAGGTGCCTGGAGGTTCTTACAGGGTTGGAACACAAGTGGTTCTGTCTGGGGTGTTGGATGCAAGGGCTGCGAAAGCAGCTGTCTGAGGCAAGACCTTCACAGAGAAGTTGCCGACCAGATGCCTTCACTTGTGCCAGTACCTGAGAAGCTGCTTCGGGCTGCCGTCGCAGCTGAACGGCACTTATTTACATGATGATACTGAACATCTGATCATCATGAGGGTGATGCTGGTAATGACTGTGCTCGTGGCCGATGTGCTTGCACCATGGCGACTATTGCTATCTGCATGCGTCTATCAGTACTGCGCTGGGCAGTTCTCTAAATTAGGCTCCCTTTTCGGATCCGTTTTTCAGGGTACCATACTTCATTGGGGACCTAAAAAAGGACGAACTATGTGCAATATGCTCGCTAAAAATAGGTGTATCCATAAACTCACAAGCAAGTACTCGTCCATCGCTACGGTTTTCATACTTTCGTAGCACCACCACCATGAAAACAGCAACATCCACAAGATTACTAACCGAAAGACGGGGTTGTGGTGGAGTTGTAGGAGGTGGTAGTGCGGTAGTTGTGGTGGCAGTAGTAGTAGTAGT